AGTTTCGTTATTATTTATCTTTGGGATATTTTTTTTTCCTTTTTTTTGGGGTGGAACCAAACAGGTGTAAACTCACCTATCTATAGTAAAACCTTAGATTGGACCTCTATCTCATCAGATGGTCAATGTCCTACTAATTCATCATTTCATCAAAGTTCATTTTTTAGTTTTTATTTTTTATTTTCTATAATCATTTTTGGAAAGTAGTGGCAATATGAATAATGATTTAATCTTATTGGAGAGGTTGTGCTTTTATCTGTTGGATATTTTTAAAAAGTTATATTGGAGAGGTTGTGGATATATTTTTTATCTACCATAATATTTAACTTGTCAAAGTATTAAGTTCGTACATTTAGAAAATTGAACCTTAAAACAGTTCAATATATTAAAAAGAAAATAACATAAAATGGTAGAACAGTGGAGGATCTAGGGGGTACATAGAGTTGCAACTGTACCACCATTCTGCGAAAACAAAACTGATAAGAGACCGCCTGTATCTAATAGGCGGCCTCTTAGATACAGTTACCTACCATTCCTACCACAAGTCCACAGCAACATAATCAGCGCCTTTTATGTTGTACAAGTATTAAATTCTAAGAGACCGCCTATTTTAAAACTGATCTTAAGCGGTCTCTTAGATGATATATATTTAACAATAGTGCTATTGAACAAAGAGACATGTTGTTACAATAACAGGTCTCTTATGTGATATTGTTTATTTTTCCAATTTGTACTTTTGATCAAAGAGATCTATTGTTACCATAACAAGTTGCTTAGACAATCTCTTTTTAAAAAGATATTTCGTTACTCAATTATAAGCCTTGTTGTCGAAAGATAGGGTGCTAGTATAAGCAAATACTAATACAATAGTTATGGAGTAAATGGTTTAACTCAAAATTTAGTTAAGAAAAAATTATTACGCTCGCATATTACTTTGTTTTTGTACAAAAATTTTATTAAACTTAATTCCGTACCCCCATTACCCAATCCTGGATCCGCCACTGGGTAGAATCCATGGTCAAATTAGATCAAACTCAAAACTACTTTGATTACTCATTGTAAAAAATTAATGCAGGTATCAAGCATATTTTGGTTACAGTTTCTGTTAGTGTAATATCTAACAGAATACAAACCCTGTATGTCATTCATTTTCAACAATACAAGAAGGTCTTCACATTACAATCATCAGACCACCTTCAATATTGCAGCCCATGAGATCCTAAATCCTAGAAACATCTAATTATAATTATGTAATTGCAGTGAAACTCAAAATTTCAGTTTATATTTGACATATATAATCATGATAGTTTAATTTACATCCTTTCTAATGATATTATTTAATTTTCATCTTTCTCATATCAATAACTATATACTAAAAGACACACCAACCATGACATGTTTCATCTCCTGGTGTGTCTTTAGTATATTTTTATTTTTTAAAAAAAATAAAAATTTATATTAAATGTTAGGGTATGAGCACGCATCGAAAATGTAAAATAGAACGAGAAATTAAAGGTAAAATGTAAGATAAGCAATAAAAGGAGACACGATATTTAACGTGGGAAAGACCCTCTAAATAGAGGTAAAAAAAACCCACGACGACAAGCACCAAAAAATTCCACTACCAAAAAATTCCACTATAATAAAATGAGAGTACAAAGTTACCCCAATAATAGGGTATTGAGATATAACTCTTACAATTAAACTCTCAAAATAAAAGAAAAGAAAACAGTGGAATAAATTACAAGGAGGAGATTAACTAGGGAGACTAGTGTAAATGGATGAGTAATTTTGTGAGTGGGTATATTTGTATAATGGAGGTTGAATGTATATTGGTTGGATGCCTCAATATGATTCAAACTCCAACTATTTATAGTTGGTTAGGTATGTGAAAATGGATGCCCCAAGATGTATGAAGAATTCTCTAGATTCGCTTGCATGATAATATTGCTTCAAGAAAGTTGACCATTTTCTAGAATAATCAACATAATTGTAAAATATTTGACATACTCTAGAAGCAAGAAGAATTATATTAGGCTTCTTCAAAACTTGGTCCATATGAAATTTTAGGCCACATCTAACATTAAATACTCAAATATTTAGCATAAATATAAATCTTATGGTATATTACGAAATTCAAATTTATCACAAAGATACAATAATGTCAAAGATATGAATAAACATTTCCAAGATCAATTATTATCTCCTAGAATTAAGGAAACAAATCACCAAGAAAATATCTACTAAATATATCATGATTATCATAACATATACATTATGGTGATACATAATTATGCAATCTTAGACTTTACAAAGATACCCTTCAAAAAAGCATTCCTTAACTTCACAAAAATAAGGAAAATTCAATTTTAAATTTGCAATCGTAGACTTAACAAAGCTACCCTGCAAAAAAAAAAAAAAAAAAAAAAAAAAAAAAAAAAAAACCTTAACAAAGATAAGAAAAGGTCCGTTAATATAAATATAAATTATGCAATATTATACTTAACTTTACATTGACTCACTTTTGATAACAAACAATTAGTAGTTCAGTTATATACTATTATGGGTGTATTTTATTTTAATATAGATGAAGACTCTATATTTACCTTAAAGAAAGTGAAATACTATTATATTGTATTGATGTGGACATATAAATATCATATCAATCAATCAACAATCGATCAATAACTAAAAGACACATAAGTAATGAAACATTTCGTCTTTTGGTGTAACTTTCACCTTTTTTTTTTTGAATAAAATTCTGTTAAAACTAATCTTATTCAAACATAATTCTCTAATCTTATACAATACAATTACTTAAAATAAAAAAAGATTTGACATATTTATAACATACTAGTCGTTGGAGCACGCGCGATGCGCGTGCCCCCCCCCCCGATGGCAAGATAAGTAAAATTCGTGGTTATGTTTGGTTTTGTGATATTCGTGGTTGTGTTCGGGTTTTGCAGTAGCAATAATACATGAATATACAAGGAGTAGTGATAAAGTTTCTACGGGGAAATATTTATAGAACAACAATTTTAAAAGTAAAAAAGTTATCTAGAATTTGTTAGAATATATAGTTTTTTTTAAAAAACTATACTATTATTTTAGAATGCACTATGGGTTTTTTTTTTTATTGAGTAGCTCAATAATTTTCAAATATCTCCATCTTAAAATGATTATGATAATTAGGATGCACTATGGGTTTTTTTACCGAGTAGCTCAATAATTTTCAAATTATTTTGCTCAATAATTATTTCACTCATTTTTTTTTTTTTTTTGAAAATTATAAGCTGCATTTGTTCTCCCAATCCATATCCCCCGACTTTTTTACCTTTCCCATCTTTTCTTTATATTTCTCTCTTTCTTGCGGCCTCCTTATCTCTTTAATTTCTTTCCCAATCCCTTTTTGTGTCTCTAGGCCCCTTTATCTCTTATCGTTTCTTCTTTAAACCCTTCTCACCCTCTTCTGGTCCTCTTTCTCTTTCTTTCTTCCTCTTAGGCCCGCTTTCTTTTTCTTTCTCTTTTCTCTTAACTTCTCTCTCATGTCCTTTGTTTCTTTCACTCTCTCTGAGACCTCTTCTCTCGCTTCCTCCCTTTCTCTCTCTCTCTCTCTCTCAGCCCTCTTTGTCTCTTTTTCGGTCCGTGTTCTCTCTCGACCCTTTTATTTCCCTACTCCTTCCCTCTCTTATCCTCTCCCCCTCCCCACTGCCCCTTTCTGTTCTCTTATCCTCTCTTCACATAATGTCTTTATTTATGTATTTTTTGATATTATGTGGCTTATTTCTCCTTTGTATTGTGTGTTTTTATATATTATTAAGGTGATTTTGAAATATAAAAAGATGAACAAAATAAAGGATTTCAATGTCTATGGAAAGAAGCATGGTATATGCAAACTAAAGGAAATATTACGCAAGAATCCAACGGATTCTACCTTAAGGTTGAATATATTTTCTAAATATGTTATCAATCAGATTGACTTTGTAGACAAATTATCACATTAGTATTGGTTTTTTATCACATAAAATTGACAATTAATTGACCATCTTTTTCTCTTCCTCCCTCCCTCCCTCCTTTCCCTTCCTAGCTTGTGATTTTCAAAATTTATAACTCTTTATTTGCATTCCTGCCGTTCTCAATCATTCTCCTCTCTCTTTCCATGTTTTGTTACATTGTACCACTTAGGTTTTCCAAATTATAAAGTCTATTTGAAAAATATTGTTTTTTTTTTCAAATTCTAAATTCTTTTCAAGTGTTGTATATCTTTAATTTCTTTGGTTAAATAGAATATTGTGGCTGCACATAACATTTTTAAAAGTTTATACTTAACTTGATACGTAAGTATGTAACGTTCATGCAAATGAAGGAGCATAGAAAAAAAGTATGAGCTAGTAATCTAAAGTTCTCAGGTACATTAGAGCCATTACCGTCACGCTATTTCAACACGTAGTTGCAGTTTACATGGTGTGTCATAACAATTAGAATTTACGATCAAGTGCGGAGTATATATATTAAAACAAACATTAAATTAATAACCGGCAACAAGAAAGATCATCCAAAGATCATCATACACAACAATAACAATAACAATAACAATAATAATAATAAGATTTTACAATGTAAATTATCACTCTTACACATCAATAAGCAGAGAGTAGTACAATCTAATATATATATATATATATATATATATATATATATATATATAGGGGAGTTTTTCCCCGAGTTTTTAGAGAGCCAGATTTAATTTTCTTAGCGCGCCACGTAGGATTGTAAATTTAAGTTGTAACTAATTAAATAAGAGATTATTAATTTCTTTTACAATTAAAAAATTCAAGTGCCACGTAAGTAAAATTGACTAATGAGATTTTAAAGATTAAATTAATTAAATACAAAATATTATCTTTTGAGATTAGGAATTTTATTCTAATATTTTAAAACTAATATAATAACAATTTTAATAACATAAATATGAAAAATATTTTCTTAAAAAAAAAATACTAACAAACCGTGCATCGCACGGGCATCATCTAGTGACCTTTGATTATCTAAGGAAATTGAAGCTACATGGTTTGTATACATATACAGTATAAGTGTACATTGTTTCTACATAATACTATAGATGCATCTTACAATTAAACTACTGACTCACTTTAGTTAAAACACCCTCTTGTCCGTATATATGTTTCACATCACCTTTTGTCTGCTTTCCAGACCTAAAGCCCCAAAATGATTTCAACAAGGCTTCAAAGTCGGGTGTTCGGAGTTCATCTATTGATGTCATACTTGGTGGGTTAATTGATTTCTTCCTTGGTGTCGAGCGAGTTGGCTCATCCACCTGCTGAAGCAAGAAGAATTAAGGATAGTTATAGATTTATAGGTATAATACAGTTTAAATTATCTTATGACTTCTTCATAGTTTCGGATAATCAACAATCAACTGAGTACTTCTCATAGAAAGTAGTGACTTGATAACTAAAATTCCTTTAAGACATCGACTTTCAAGTCGGAAATTGCTACTCTAAAAATGTTGGACATGAAGTATAATAAATCTATTGAAGTTGTTAATTGTTATGGTAAATTCACAACTTAGGAATTGTACCAATATAATACAATTTGGTTTACAGTATATCAATGTCAAATCATTCAATAGGACAATGATCTTTTAGTAAGGCTACAAATAATTTACATTGCTGCAATCAATCCCATGACATGAACGTCAAACCGACATCACTTTCCTTTCTTAGCAGATTGCTGCAATCAATCCCATGACATGGACGTGTATACACTAATTTACTATCCTACGATGCCCAGATTATGGGAAGTAAACTCTCCACCACAAAAGTTCCAAAATCAAAATCATACATGCATCAACAGACAACATACCAATTAAGCAACGAACCTATTACAATGCAGAATGTAAAGGAAAAAAAACTCACAATTAAACTGAGCACTACAGGCAGACTGAACTGATGAAGCAACCGTAGATCCTCCGGTATATGCAGGGAGCACTCGGTACAGATTTACGTATCAAAAGATCAAAAATAAATCAACACCTTTGTACAAAAATGTTTGGTAAGTTCAATAGAAGTTGGGACCCAATAATTGCAACTTGCTTAACACTGCACAAAATTTAAGAGAAGATCAATAGCATGGACAAACATTACAAATATACAAGGAAGTTGAGAGGAGACACAAGATTAATCTTGACAACATAACTCTCACTGAATTTTGGTAAAAGTACATAATAATATCAATTAAGTTTGTTGCAATGTCATATACGAAGTATGTTAACAAGACCGCTATTCCCAAACTTATTCACAAAAAAATCTATCACCACCCTTATTTAACTCCAAGCACCAACAATTATATAACTCACAGCTGTACAGATCATTAAGAGCGCAATCATTGGAGCAAAAAAATCTAATGCAAATTAAGCTCCAATTCACTTCTTATACAATAACCATGAAATTCATATAACCCTATACCATCCATTAAAGAGGCTAAATAATATTACATTCAATAAAATAGCACCATGACATGTGAAATAGCCAAATCATAATGATAGCATAACCAAATTCCTCCACCTAACCAAAGAAACTACACAAGAGTAAATACTCCAGGTAGCTCAAATAGGATAATAAACAATATGGGAAGTTCAATAACTAAAAACACCCTGTCAAAAAAAGGAAAAAAAAAAAAACCTCTAAACAAGAATCAGTTTCTTTTATATTATTAAACCAATCCAAGTCCTCGATCTAAAGGCTAAAGCTATACAAGCATTTGAAGCAAAAACAGTATAAAAAATCTTCACAAGGACAACAATCAATTCAATTCTTTTTCTACCCTTACAAAGTGTCATGATGCAGCAGTTTGAGGTTAAGAAAATTCTTCAATACCTTTTATGTACCATCATGTCTATATTAAGTCACAAACAAATGCACACCAACAATCAAAATAGAGAATTGCTACTGAATTAATGTACAAATACAAAGCACTCATCAAAACTGAGAATGAAGGGAAATTTTAACCCAGCCAAAAAAGCAACCTACCCCATAAAATATAATTATCAATAATCTATTACATTACGGTCTATAGAACAATAGGATAAAACATACTGAATTTAAGAGAGCAAGTTGAATATACTGAGTTGCTGACTCAATAATTTTTAAAGATATATAAAACACATTACCTCGCTAGCTAATATATACGAATATAAGAGAGAAAATTGAAATTTGATGATATATATAAACACATTACCTTGCTAGCTCCATCAATGTAGGAAAAGCTCCGAAGGTCATTCGATGGAAGGAACTCAAACATATATCTGTAATTATAAGAGATAAAAGAACAAAATTTCAGGAAAAATCTAAAACCAAAAATAATTTTAAAGAAAAAAAAATTAAATATAATTAGCCACCCAAACCCCAACCTCCCACACACCCAAAGTCGCAACAATCAGCTACAGCCAATTCTCAACCACACTACCGCCATATGACCACTTTTGGATCAAAGTACACAAATAAATTCATTTATTCCCTCAACATAGAAATCCAACAATACTAAATAAAACTCCAAATCCCAGAATTCAAATTCAACAGACTAAACATCCCAAAAAACCTGAGAAATGACTAAACATAAATAAACAAAGAAAGATATCTGCCAAAGAATGAAAGGATACTGAAAATTGAAGGCATTGGAGGATTGAGGAACGCACTTTCCTGGAAGCAACAAAATCTATAAGAAAGCGGCGCTTAGAAGTAAACTTCGTAAGAAAGCAGGTTAGTAGACATTTAGCTTACCTCCCCCAGAGTGTTTCACAATGTCTTCTTCTCGTTAGGGAATTGGGTTGTTGTCATCATACTCAATCCACTTTCCTGGAAGCAACAAAATCTATAAGAATTGAAAAATCTAGAATAATACTTCGTATCAGAGATAGCTTAAACATATGTTTTTCCACCACTAACCATTATCTTGCTTCACCCAACCAACATAGTGCCCTGAATAAGCACTTCTATCCTTGTGAGTTAACACAGCAACTAAATCATAAACTCCAGTCAAGTGCATCTCCTTCTCAGATAAAATAGCTGCAAAGATAGATTAGCATACATTAAGCATGGTTTGATACCAACCTTTAGAGTAAAAAAAAAAAAAAAATCCCATACAAAAATGTAATTTACATTATGAAAATATTGGATCTCCTATTAAAACTACTCTATTTACATATGGTTTGAAATTTTAAGAAAGTTTAGATTGATTCCCCGCACTCCGCTTAAATTAACATTTATTATAATAGAATTTGTATTTACTCACATTTTTTGGCTTCAATTCAATCCAAAATCAATCTCAACATGCAATTAACAATCTTCCAAAAAAAAAAGAAAGATAACAAGTAAGCTATTCATATTAAAGGCTAGATGAAAACTGAACCAATTAGAACAAGAAAGAGTAAAGGGAGATAGAATTGTACATGTAGATCAACAATTTGTTACAAATCATACAATAATGCTACTAACAATATAAAAAATCAACCCAAAAAACGATAAATCACTCGAATTCAACCCGAAAAAACCACCAAACAATCAAAGAAGGCACTAAATTTCAACCCAGAAAACGAAAATAAATAGAACAAATAAACCCTTAAAAAATCGAGAAAAAAAAACGAACAAATAAACCCAAAAAAATGAAAACAAATTGATCAAATAAACCCCATTGAAAACAAAACGATTAATCAGAAATACACCCACAAAGATTCAACCCAAAAAATTCGAAAACATATCGAAAATAACAGGAATATATATGCAAAAAATCCACGACAATCGAATAAGTAAAGCCCAAAAATTTGAAACTAAATTGAGAAAGAGAAACGAGATCGAACTTGATGAATGTGACGAGATCGGAAAATCGAAGCACCCTCGTCGAAAGGACAATCGTTGGTCTTGAGTTGCAGAAGTTTCTCTCTCTAGGTTTCTCTCTCCTTGATTCCCCTAAATACTCTGACCCTTTTCCTTTAGACAGAGGGGGAAGATGGTGAGGAAGTCGGTGAGAAAGCAAGGCCAAGTAAGTCGGTGGGAAGAAGGGGCATAATTGGCAATTCCTGTTATTTTTGGCAAAGTCGGCAATTCCTTAAAATTAAGGGCAGCTATGTCATAACACCAAAAAATACTATTCATAAGGAATAGTAGCAAATTTTGCACTTTTATAATGGTTATGGAAATATTCTTATATAGCTTTAAAATAGCATTCTTAACATAAATTTGATAATTTCCTACATCATTTTTTATCTAACATATCTTTCGTAATCTTTTATTTTGATCAAAATTTGACAACTACATTTCTAGAGTTTAATTTGTCTATAAAAAACTATTTATAAAGGTAGTTTAATAATGGTTTATTGAAAATTATCGTGCATGGCACGGGAACTAACCTAGTAATAACTTAAAATGCAATATTTCTCTCTTAAATTGCCTCTAATATTTCGGATTCTTACAACATTCAAACACTACCCAAACATAACTGTCGTGTAACAAAACCACCGGATAATTATTTAACAATAATAATCACCGTCATTGGGGGATTGCGCGAAGTACGCTAGGCCGCAACTGGTAGATTTAAAAATAAATAAAATCCACACTTGCATAGAGAGCTAGTTAGAGTTAAGAGAATAGTGCCAATAACAAAAAATGACCATGGCAATATACGAAGTAGGCCATATTCTATTCATTTTACAATAATAATATGGTTTTTTTTTTTTTTTTTGAAGAATATAATAATAATATTCAATTAAAGCAATTTCAATTTAGTAAACATATGTAACTTTAATGAACAAATATAATGAAAAATTAGTAAAAAATAATTTTTAATTAGTAACAATACTTTCAGTTTATAAAAGATAATTTAAGTCTAGTAAAAAAAATTACAATTCAGCAAAAAAAAATTTCATTTAAGCGAAGATAAGACGAGTTCCTTCAAAAATAAAAAAAAAATAAAAAAATAACAAGAATTGGATTATAAAATGTGACAATTAGTCAATTACTATTAAGTGACAATCAATAAGAACTGAAGAAGTCAAGTAGGCTTAAATGGTAATTAAATCAAACTGTCAAATTTACAGATTTAACCATCACAAAGTTTATCCCATAGTTTACATCCCAAAGTTATGACATAGCCATAAGAGATTAATCTTAATTTTTAAGCATACAATTGAGGGTTAGAACCAATAACTCCAACTTTAACAAATAACAAGGTGCTTCAGATATAGCTCATAAACACAAGCAATAAAAATGAAATATGTAATGTATATCGATTTTCAAGCATAAACATCGAGTTTACCTGCTTCGGGTTTCACATTAAGCTTCCATGATCGATCATCATCAAAGCACCATTTTCGTAGAAGAAGATGAAAGGTTCACTATGCAAGAGAAATGATACCAAAGTTGAACTTATTATGGTTTCAAATTAGGCATCATCTCTCCTGCGAAGTAAATCTTTCATTTCTTCTTTACTGATGTTTCAAATACTTAACAAAATGATTTTTGGCACATTTGTAGTCAATGTTATCGTGACTTTCTTTGTGTGCCAATGATTCTTCAAGGTTTGTTTTTATGTGGCTAGCCAAGTGGGATAACAATAACCAATAATTGTGGGAGTTGCATGATTATCTTCTGCGCCACCTTAAAACTTTTATCTCCTTTTTCTATGGCGTGGGTTATTTATTATTTTATTCGACGTCAGCAGGAAGAAGACAAAGAACATGAATACATGATAAGTTCCATGGTTAATTGATAATGGTTATTTATCTGGATTTTATTTTCGAAAAGTAAACACCGGTTACATTATACACTCGAGTGTACCTATCTATGGGCACATCAATCTCTTGCTCGATGTCATAAAACAATTTCATATAAAATGATGAGCTAAAAGGATAGCTCAATGCACCCGCACAAATTACGGTTGTGTTTCAATTGTACTAGTGTTTCAATGATTGCATTTATATAACTAATACTTTGTATAATATTGCAGTTACCTACTTACGTTTCAGGTACGTGACTGCTTTCAGAAATGGCCATCGAAAACTTTAATTAATTGCATTGAAAAAATTGCATCCATAAGACCATAACAGTGACAACAGTGGAAAACGAAAATTCAGCCCGTATATAATAACTTTCCAGCACGCCAGACGCTGCAATATTCAGTACAATGTTAATTAATCTAATGTTACATGCGTTTTCTTTTTCATATCGACCCATCCTCTGTGGTATAATAGAATAAAGACTGCATAGCTAGCAGAAATCTCAAAGTTATGGGCTGATGAACGCCAATGTACATTCAATATCAAAAATTATTCATGATCACTACATTTTACGCTTGCCACATTTTGCACATTGATTCTGATGACAACCCTGGGATCAATCATATGATCGGTTTCTGAATTCTAGGCTTGCCACATTTTGCACATTGATTCTGATGATAACATACCATACCAGCTTCTGTAAAATCCTGCAATGAGACAAATAAACATGTAATTGAAATTCATAAACTATACAAACATAACTGGATAACCCTTTTTTGTTCACTCTACTTCCACATATTTTAGGATAATGAAGTTCAGTTCAGAGTTAATAAGCTCAAACTGTATAAAGTTACGTAAAAAACTAAGATTTGGAAAGTTTATAATAAAAAAGGAAATATAAGGACTACCAAGTTCATATAGACATATTAACTAAAATAAGTTAATTAGGCTGTCTTCTGCATACCAATATAAGCTATAATTCTCTGTCAATGTCATTTTCTGCTTTTGCTGCTGCTTTCTCTGTTTCTTCCAAAACAAATGCTTTAAGTGATTCTACATCTCGTTTCCCTAAAATAATAACAAGACCAAAGGGAGAAATAAAGCGTCAGAAAATCAAAATCTTATCAACTACAATTATTACAAACCTTTTAAAAGTAATTACTACCCAAAAACACTTGGAAAGCACTTTTTACAAAAATACTGTACTTCATAATCTAAAATAGCAAGATTTTCCAAATTTCATGTTTTGAATGTCTTTTCAGAGAAATGTTTTTTCATGAACACATTACTAGTGGTCATTACAAAATGCAAACAGAAAAACAAAATCAAGAACATTGAATTCTACACAGCTGAAGTACAAAACCATATTTTCAACCAGATACAAGAATGATGAGCACAACACAAATTCTTCATTTCACCTCCACGATGGTAGATTTCTCAACTCACTTACATGGTTATAAATAAACCCAACCCTAGGAATAGAAAGGTCATAGTACCTGGATGCACATGATCGGGGAAAAAAAAATAAGGGGTGGGGGGTGGGTTTGGCCTTCCACTTGATTGCTAGTTTAGGTGTTCTAAAATTCTAATACAAAGATGGGATTAGAAAAATAACTAGAGAAGGTTATCAAAAAGAAAAATAACTAGAGAAGACGCTTATAAAGAAAATTAACACTATTAAGTATAACAACTGGACACATACCTTTGTTTGACATATGTACAAGAATTTAGTTAATATTGTCAAACTGTAACTTCTGGTCATTAACAAGCAAATTCTAGCCTCTTCACATGCTAGAGTGCTAGACGATTCCCTACGTATCTTCCACCATCCCAGTGTAAAAGCTCACATTGAGTTCTTTTTTTTTAGATACCAATATTTTAGTCCTTTATGAGAAACCAAACTCATTGATGAATGCTGTAATGTGCAACTAAATTTTCAATATATTAAGGATGCTTAAGTTTGGAAAGTATGTTTTAGTTCTTTCCTTTCATTTTTATTTCTATATTCCTTTCCCTATCTCATGGATGAGCTGATAACCAAAAATATCAACTCTTTTTGCACAGTGAATGGCCAGGATGTTTGGAATTAGTTGCTAGCAATCATATATGTTCAGTGAGTCCGTCCAAAATGTGTTTTGGTGTACTTGCAGATCAATAATGTTACATATGGGAGAGATAGGGGAAGGTAGGCTTTATGAGGTTCATATATTTAGTTCTCTGCTTTTATGATAGAAAATTCTAAATAGGAGTATTGGGATTGAGGGTCATGCAATACAGTAGAAGCCTCGACCTCACTTTCATTTGTCTCCTGGTACTTGGGTAGTATAAACTAATAAAGCTTGTTTGACATGCTGTTTTCTTACATTCTTGAGCTTTACTTTAGCAAACAAAACCTGTCCACACACAGCACACACAAGCAAGCAGTGTTAATAGATTAAATTTATTCCTTCCCCCCCCCCCCCCACCCCACAAAAAAAAAAAAAAAAAAAAAAAAAAAAAAAAAAAAAACTAAACTTGCTCCATCACTAGGCCTTGGGGTAAAAAATTGTTTTAGAGAGAAGAGCTATGTGTCATGAACGACTTGAGTTTGGCCTCTCTACATCATAAATTAGGTTCCTGAATCTAAGTAGACACTCTCAGATAATCAGATTGCCCGACTGAGTTATCACTTTCGATTCTGATACCTATTTTGATCAGATTCAATCAATCAATCAATCACTTTAATCCCATAAGTGGGTCGGCTACATGAACCAAAAAATGATTATTCCATAGTCATCCACAAAAATCTCTCTCCTCCAACCTTACGATCATGCTCGTGCAAATCTATATACTTCATATCCTCCCTAACTCCTTCCAAACAAGTCATTTTCGGTCTCCCTCTCCGTCGTTTAACCCCTCCATAGTCCCACTCTTCCACTCTTCGTACCGATGCACCCTCAGGTCTCCGCCTTACATTCCCAAACCAACATAGGCGATTTTCCCTTAGTTTGTCCGCACTGCCACCCCCACTTTCTTGCGAATAACTCATTTCTGATTCCATCTCTTACAGTGTTCCCGCACATCCATCTTAACATACGCATTTCCATAACCTCCATCTTTTTAATGTGCTCCTTCTTAGAAGCCCAACATTCTGTACCATAGAGCAACACTAGTCTTATGGTAGTCTTGTAAAAATGTCATCCTATCTCTGCAAGGATGCTATCTAATGCTAGGTGAATCTCATTTATTAAACATGTTCTGTCATGGTTCTATATAGGTCCTGCTTGCATCGCAGGTGTTCAAAGTCCAGAAATCTTTTTCCCTTTACTTCAGAAATCCTCAAGTTGATTGAAGCTACTTATAGGACCCTTCTGTTCTTGGAGTGTTTGATTGTCAAGGATGAAAGAATGTTGTAGCACAGAGTAGACTCTATAGGGGTTCAGACTACTTCTTATAAATAGGCTGCTATCCTTATACTTCTTCAGGCTATGATGCAAAAAGGACAAATATGGCGAAGAGGCTATAAGCATAATATTCACAGAAATAAATTCAGGAAGCATCTTCAAAAGCGCAGTTGGATGGCCAGAGATTTTTGGCTCCCGTAAATACTTAATGCCGTTAGGGGTTTCAAGGAGATTGGTTTCTACTCTTACAAAAAATGAGTCCTCCATAAGAACTTGGTATAAGATTATTTGGTAAACAAAAAGGTTAAAAAAAAAAAAATAGTGTGCAGATATTTGCAAGCAAAGAATTATGCTCTGACTGGCTAAAGGGCAGTGCACTAAGATGAGCTTATTAAGTGGGGATGCAAGTCCATCCTCGACATTTTCTGGGTAGAACACGAGTTCATAAGGATTTAATCACCTACTCTTCAAATGTTAATTAGCAGCCTTAGTTTGGATTAAATAGCTTTTCTGGTGGGCTAAAGTTAGATAAGTTGGGTCTTGGCATTCGAGACTCAAAATAACAAAAAGGGTCTCCAAGACTAGTGGCTGTTACGAGTAATCTAAATATATGGTGTATGAAGGTAAAAAAGTTTGAGCTTATCATATAATCCAAGGCCTAAGGACGTACTTTCTTAGTAATTGGTACTTAAATTTCATTTCAGGCCACGATAAAGGGAAATATTATTCAATGGCAGTCCTTTTTAACTGGTTTATATCTAAAAATTTAGTAAAAAGTCAACTAAGAAAATCAGGCATAATAAGAGTTAATCATCTAACAACATTGTATTTGGTTTTCCGTTAAGCAGGAAATATGAATGTTGATCCGACGTAAAAAATTAGCCAAGCCATAGCAATGAAGCATAAACAGTTCCATATAAAAACAGACATATCATTCAGATGACCGAAATAATTACCCTGATATTTTGCAACTTCTTCACCATTGTAGAAGAGCTTGAATGTTGGATATGAATGAATATCAACTTCGGAACAAACGGGTTTACTAGTACTGCAGTCAACTTGTCTAACTTCAATCTCATCTTCCCCTTCCATGGCCTTCCCCAAGTCTTCCCACAATGATCCCAAATTCTTACTGAAATTACCCAGTATTAGAATTAATAGAAGCCAATACAAAATAACTAAAAATAAATAAAAAAAATTATAATTTATAGTTCACCATTCACTACTAAACCCAGCTATAAATTCTAAAGTAGAGATAATTTCTTACCAGTGCTTACACCATGGAACACAGAATTTCACGAACCAAGCAGTATCCTTCTCCTTTATCTACACAAAATTCAATTGTGCAATGAATACACCAGAGACATAGTTGTCAGCTTATAAAGAACTTTAGTCCATTGTTAATAAAAGTTAGACGATAGTAAATCAATCAGCTCTCCTAAAATGGACATATGCTGAATGTAAGGGTTTAGAACATCATTTTAGAGGGAAGGGGAGCAGAACACGACTTATACAAATAAATTCAGAGGTAGAAAGGCAATAATTTATGATTCGTTTCTTTGGAAGTATCAATTAAGAATTCAAAATATATCATTTAGTACATTGCAAACTCAACATAGGCTACTTTACAGCTTCAGCATTGAATAATTGCACTGCACAGCTGCAAATAATCAAGTATCAGAGTTTATTTGCTGCAATGCTGCCTTGTTTACAGGGTGATTAATAGGTCTCCCTTGGATCCGTTTTCACTGTTTAGTGGAAGGGTGGGTTTGAGGACTTCTTTTCTCCATCAGCAAGAGGTAAGAGCTTCCAAACTTGCATACTCTTGACTTCTAGAGAGATAATTTCCATTTCAGATGTAAGATTATGATCCAGGAGTAGGCCTCTAGCACACCAAATTGCTTCAATTCCCAAAGTATATCAATTCATATTCATTTTTGTTTATCTGCGATGCTATGACTTAAAAATGAGGGTCACATAGGCATGGATCACAGAATTGGACGTGGAATTCACCAAAAAAAATAATTCAAAGATAAAGAAACAATTTCCACTGTCCAATTCACTTAAAATATACTGATAAAGAATGCTAAAAAAAATTAAAAAAAAAAAAAAAAAAAAAACATGTTCAAAATTATTTTCATAATGTTAATTCCATGTTATTATGTATATTAATCCTTCAACTTCACAGAATTCGTGGTCATAATTATAAGTTAAAAACATAGGGGCCTTATGAGATGAAAGTGATAGTTTCCTTATATCCAAAAGAGGTTAAAGTCAGAATTTTAAGGAAGATAAAGGAGTAAGAAGAGTTTATCTTTTCTAATGGTGTTGCTTGAAAGAAGGGGTTTGCTGGGAAATGGAGATGCTGAAATGCTGGATATGGTGTAGTTTCTAATGCTTTAATTCTACAATTAAATTATGGGCTTTCACTAGGAGCATCTGTTTTCATCATGAGAATTTTTTAAAAAGAAAACAATTCATCATCTTTTCTCTTTACTTTATTGGTTAATGTTCTTTATAAATTGCTAGAGATAATTGTGCTTGGGGGAGGGGGGGGGGGGTTGAGAGGCTTAAGGCTGAGAGGCTTAAGGCAGAGAGGGAAGAAGCGATGGATTCTATTAATGGCTCTCTAATTGCTGATGAAATGAACTCTAATACTCAAGCTAATTCTTTCAAATTAGGGATTAGAAAATTTGTGGCAGGGAGGAAAGAAGTTATGGTGTTTCTTTGGCTGGCTAGCTGCCCTCAAATACACTCAACTAATCAACCAGGTTCTTACAGGTTAGCAAATTCAAAAATTAGTGTTCAGTATGAGGCTAATTTTTCCGAGAGTAATTTAGGAAGAATTAATCCTAATCATGGCTAAGGTGTCAAATTCAATGGTATCTAGAATCTAGTAGCTTATTTAGGGCTGCCATAGAGAAGCAATCCAGGATCAAGTCTTTTTGGGATTGACTAATTGCATGGGAATTGAAGACAGAAGAGACTACTCCCCAGATGTCAAGATTAAACTGTTACAGTCTAATTTGTCTAGTTTTCATCTCTGCACCCTCACTTATATAAAACCTGCTATTGCCACAATTAAGAAGTGCTTGTTTCACCTCAAAAATCTAAACTTTGAGTTATCCAACCTAATCCTATTAGCCCTAACCTGAGCATAATTTTGGTTGTGAATAAAAGATAAAATCCTAGTATAAGTTTACTAGAACCTTTCATGAATATTTAAACTTTCGAAGAAATTTGTACTTACAGACCTGAACTCATTACTTTAAGGATGGAAAAAAAAATAACTTAAGGTAGAATTTGATGATTAAATTCTTATGGTCGGTGGTTTATAATGCTAATAGGGGTCATTTGGCAAAAAGAACTCTAGTGTATCAGGCCAAAAGTAAAGGAACGCCAAAGGATAGTGAAGCTAATGTCCTAGAATGTTCCTTTGGCGTTGCAGTATCATTATAAGGACTGACGGACTGTGCCATAATGGTTGAAATGCCCATGAAGCTACAGGCCTACAGCCATAATGCTTGCATGCCTTTAGAAATTTATTCCTCAAACGGTCTCTACTTTTTCAATTCTAATTTTCAGGACGCTATTGTGGCTGGCGCTTGTGTTGGTACTTCTTTTTATTTTTATTTTTTTTTTGAGGAAATTGTGTTGGTACTTCTTGGTATCTGCATTCAATGACGGCAGCCCATGATGAATAAATAATCAAGGAGCTTATGATGATGGCGATTCTAGGCATTTTTACTTATGGAAGATTGTAAGGCTAGTCATTCCAATGAGTGGAAAAGTAATCCTTAGGGATTTTCACCAGGGAAAACTTTCCTTCATTTTCAAAGCCGGTACCACGATAGTTGCTACCTCATTTTATTGCCAAATTATTTGTAAACTAAGATTCCTCTTATTGTAGATATTTCAATACTACCGCCTGTAAGCAGGATTTATAAAAATGTTAAGCCCTAAATTAGCAAAAAATAGGTTGCTTATCTCATGGTTATATGTTTGCTTCATCATGCTAACCACGAATGTTCGATACTAATCTCTAATTCCAATAAAATCAATAGTTTCAGCAGTCCATCGATCGACTACGTCTAATGATTTATTAAGGATGAATGCACACACGTTTAACCTATTACTCCTGATACTTGAAGTCAACAACCCAATATATAATTTTACTAAAAGATTAATCATTGATCAAAGTATGTGGATCACAAATCTAGTTTAACATTCACCAATTTCTACCATTACAGATAATTTCACAAAAAATCACAATTTATAATCACAATTAAGAAAAAAAAAAATCAATAGCAACTGTCTTATAATGAATCAATCACAATAACCTGGATCTCAACTATACTAAAAAACATTAATCATTCTAATAAGCTAATAATTAACAAAATTACGATAATAATTGGGAAAAAATGTAAAAAGAAAATGACAGAAAATTCAAAAAATTGAAGAATCGATCGAGAAAAATAGAAAAGAAAATTGGTACCTTGTCGGAGAAAATATCTTCAGTTAGGGTAATAACATCAGCTCTGCATCGTGTATGAATGGTGAGAAGGAGAAGGAGGAGGAGAAGACATGGTGATACTTTGAATTGAAACCTCCTGCTGTCCGCCATTGCTATTCTCATGCTTCTCTCTTCGTGTTCGTGTTCGTGTTCGTTAATACTCTCCAAATACGGCTTATATATATATATTTTTTTTTAGTAAGGTAAGAAAAAGGAAAGAATTAGAACCCCTCCTCACAAAGGGCAATCCTAAATCATTTACGGCGAGAATAGGGTATAAAGCTGAAGAGGTACAAAATGGAATATCCAATTTGTCAGTGACAATATGCCTAACATTTGCTATCCAATCTGCTATTCTATTTGCTTCTCTGTAGACATGTCGGAGTTCCCAATGGGGGAATCTGCGAAGTAAGATCTTGATATCTTCTATAATGTGATCAATTTGTCATGGGGTCGACCAAATATTGTTTACTGCGTTGACAACTAGGAGGTTGTCCCCTTCATTGTGAAGATTTTGTATTCCTTGTTGGAGGGCGAGAATGATTCCCTTGTGGAGGCCAAAAGCTTCAGCGACGAAGACGTCAGTGGTTCCAAGGTTGAAAGCTTTGTGCTGCAATGGGTGTACCTTCACTGTCTCTGATGACTCCTGCTGCAGCTGAGTTGTTTTTTACCGAACCGTCGAAGTTGAGTTTGAAAGAATTGAGAGGAGGTGCCTCTCATGCAACCAACTGAGTGTTGGAGTGGTTTGGGTGAGGTAGATGATGGGTTTGGGATCTCTGCATTGGAGACCCCGAGCTTAAAGAGGTATCTATGAGAATGCGATAATTCCACTCTTAGAACGCAAATTGCGCTCGGTGGAAGGTTCTAGAGATGCTAAAACTCTCATTCTTGAAAATAATAGAGTTTCATTCTTTCCAGATACTCCATAAAAAGAAAATAAATCTTCGGAGGGCGGAGTTGTTTTTCCAAAGCGTAGGTAATGTCGTTATCAAGTCTATGGGTGGAAGAGTACCAGGAAACCAGTTTTGGGTTAAAGTGTTGTTCCAAATTTCTTTGGCCTTATCACAAGTAAGAAATAAGCGGTCATGAGATTCCGGATAGGCTGAACAAAAGGTGCCATGATTGAAAGGAATAATCTTTCTTTTATAAAGGATGTCTCTAACTCCAAGACTATTATGCATTGCATTATTTGCCATAAGAAGATTTGGAGTTTAGGTGGGATGTCCAATTTCCATATCCGACGATGGGGCCATTTTACAGAATTTGGCTCTAAATCATGTGTTATCCATGTAGCCGACTTCAATGAAAAAATTCCCGAAGGCGTAGGGCCCCATACTGGTGTGTCAGTCATTTGAGAGTTTGGTAAGGGGATGCAGATGATTAGCTGTACAATATAATTCGGTAATAAAGAACAAAGCTTGCATTTCCTCTAAGTTCGGTTGGGGAGAATAAAGTCTGCAACCTTTAAGTTAATATTGACTTGGTGGCCTTGTAACTCTAACGCTTTTAGGAGACTCTTGTTCATCACCCAGTTGTCTAGCAAAAAATAAATGTCATTGCCATTGCCAATTTTCCAACGAATGCCTTTGCGCAAGAATGGTTTTCCATATATGTAAGTCTTTAGGTTGAAGTTGATAGTAAAAAAAGAGGAGCTATGGAGATATTTCTCTTTTATAAGTTTAACCCAAAGATTAGTAGGGTCTGAAAGAATCTTCCAACCTAACTTAGCAAGGAATGCGTGATTTAAGGGAAGGGTTCGCCTTAAACCTAGGCCGCCATGGTTCTTGGGTTTGCAAACTTTATTCCATGCTATTAAAGGGGTACCATTTTTTTCTTTTTGCTACCTCCAAAAGAAATTTCTATGGAGGGAGTCTAGATTTTTCGCAATATTAGAGGGAAGAAGAGATGAAGAGCAAATGTAGGACGAAAGGGCTTCTAGATTACTTTGGATTAAAGTATGGCGACTTGCTTTAGAGAGGTAATTGGCTTCCCAAGAGCTTATTCGTTGTTTGGTACTATCAAGCACTCTCTAAAATCTTTTTTCATATGGTAATAAGAGCTAAAAAAGACCCCTAAATATCTTCTGAGAGAGGACTTAGGAGTCATGTTGATCTGAAATGGGCTGCATGGACAGTGCGACGACTATTTGTAATTTGACGTGAAAAAATGATTGACGATTTATGGAAATTAATTAGTTGACTAGAGGAGGAGCAAAATTCATCTAGTATTCTCTTTAAATTATTGCAAGCCGACGTTGTAGCTTTACATAAAACTAAGCTGCCATCTGCAAAAAGGAGGCATGGAATATTAAAATAGCGAGGAGCAATTTTGAACCCGATCCCTGATTTAATTTTTTGGCTTTCTTGGGATAATTTTCTAATTAGAACTTCCGTGCATAAGATAAACAGATATGGAGAGAGGGGGTCTCCTTGTCTTAGCCCTCTTGAAGGCTTGAACCATTCTGTAGTTTCTCCATTGATTTTGAGAGAATATGACACTTTGGTGACACATTCCTGGATCCAATAAATCCATTTCAAAAGGAATCCAAAACATTTAAGGGTTTCCCACAAAAAATCCCATTCAATCCTATCATATGTTTTTTCCATGTCCAGTTTTAGTGCACACCAACCCGTCTTATTTTTTGATTTATGGAAGGTGTTAAGTATTTCTTGCACTATAAGGATGTTGTCATGTATCGAGCGATCGGGGGTAAAAGCATTTTGTAAGAGGTTGACCGACTTTTTTAGGATCGGACATAGACGATTAACCATGATTTTTGATATGGCTTTGTAGATTGTATTTACCAGGCTAATCGGTCGTAAATGATTTGGGGTTTTTGGGATATCTACCTTCAATAATAGTGTGGTTCACAAAGGGAGGAAGCTGCCCATGCGAGAAAAAACTCTGAATCGCTATATTGATGTCGTTCTCAACTATTGGCTAGTAGGCTTGGAAAAACTTAGCCCCAAAGCCATCTGATCCGGGGGATTTATTTGGGTTCATATCAAAAAAGGCTCTTTTTATTTCTTCGTTAGAGATTGGGCTTAGGAGGGTGTTGCAATCGTTTGGTGTAACAATTGGTTCAATGAACGAAAGATCAATTTGTCGACTAGTTGCTGAATTAGAACTGAATCTATATTTGAAGGATTCTTAGAGAAGATTGTGGATTTCCTCCCTAGATTCTACCCAACTGTCATCTATATTTTTTAATCTATAAATTGTATTAAGAGCTATCCTTTTATGCATTTTATTATGAAAGAATCTTGTATTTCTATCACCTTGCGTAAGCCAATTTTTCCTAGAAAAGGCACCCCAATGTCGTTGGCAAAAAAGTAGAAGTTTCTCTCTTTGGCGTAACATTCTATTCATATGACTTACTAAGATCGGGTAAAAAGGTTGTATGTGTAACGCTTTTTCGAGATCCTTTATTTTTTCTGAATCAAGTATGAGCTTATTATTATTGTTCCCATATCTTTTTTGTGCCCATTGTTTTAAATTGACCTTTGTACGGGACAATTTTTGTTGAATTCTGTATAACCTTGATCCCTGAATTGGTGATGGACACGTTTTTTTTACTACTGCAAGAGCATCGGCCTCAAGAGTCCAATGGTTTTGGAATTGAAAGGGTCGACGATGCACAATTTGATCATTATAATGAGAATCATAAATTAGAGTAGCATGATATGATATTGTAAAGATCAAATTTTATTTGACTCCGTGGGAAAATTCGAAGGAAATCATTATTTCAGACTGCTCTATCAAGTTTTTCATATATAACTCTGTTATTAACACATTACTTCCATGAAAATGAATTTTGGGTACTAGGATTGTCTATTGCATGGGTATTTGCTATAAAATTAGGTAAACGTGGTAATTGGTGAGGAAGAAATGGCCTTCCACCAATTTTATCATTTACACACAACATTTCATTAAAGTTTTCTAGAATAATCCTAGGCACAGTAATATTTGAGCTAACAGAATTAAGGTTATCCCAAAAATCATTTTTATTAGACTCTTGAGTTGGACCGTAAATGCCACTTATTAACAATTCGCAATTTAGAGGTTTAAAAATAATATTTAAGTGGGCACACCTTTCTGTCAAGGTAGTTTGATCAATACTGATTTTATTAACATTCCAACACACCCAATGCCACCCGAATGACCATTTGGTTCAATAACAAACGTGTGATCAAAATGTAAAGATTTTAATATTCTCTTACTATTAGCAGTATTCGTCATTGTTTCCAAGACAAATATTATGTCTGGCTTATGTTTATTTTTTAAAAATATTAGTTCGGCCAAAGCCTCGGGTCTTTTCCCACCTCGTATATTCTAGCATAGAATTTTCATAATGATAATGTATGATCATGTAAGAGGGCCTTTGCCGTATTAGATTCATCACGAGTGTCAAGCACTCGATTCTATTGGGGGTTTCCAGCCCCGGTTATATAATATAAACTATTACAAAGATACATTTTCATGAGAAACATAAAATAAGACACAATAAAAATTTCCAGGAAGTGCGAAGAAAGAACAACATTAAGTCAAAAGCTTCTTTCCAGTAGAAATTTGCAGCAATCCACCTCTATATTTTGGCATGAGCTGTGCCAAAAAGAGAAAAATACATAAGTGCACCACTGTATACATAATTCATATAAAAAATTACTAGAATAATCATTATTAGTACAAGAGACACAACATAAAGACAAGCCCTCAGTCCCATGGAAAAAAATAGTCCATGGCTCATCCTTGGGACAAGGCATCCAAGGGTAACTACAAAGGGCCGCTCCCCTCAAAACTCGTACAATTAGTCTCATAACCAAGAGAATATGGTGTGACAATGAAGGGGAGTAAAGAGAAGAAGGGTCCTTTGCTTCTGCCAGCAAGGAAGCATAGCATAGCAACAATAAAACTTAATACAACCTGTAACCAAACCCAACATAGGAAGACCAGCTGAACATAGTGAAGCATGGTGCAAGGCTTGAGAATTATAAAACCACAAATACCAAGGGGGCAACTCATTATTATATAGAAGAAATAAGAGCAAAAATAATGCTGAATAAATAATATTCCAATGGAAAACACTTAGCAGTACCATAGTAGCAGTAAAAGTAAATTGCAAAGGACTGAACACATAAACCGATAATGCAAGAGAGGGTAAACTAAATAGAGACGT